CATATACACAACATATTTACATTAGACACATGTCACTCATCTAAAGAGGAAAAAGAGCTTTAAACAAGTGAGCGGAAAAAGGAGTCAACCAGAGTGGAAAGTTGTGATTCCTTATAGAGACAACTAGTGTCTGACTAAACACTGAAAGAAGACAGGATGTGTCCAAACTCTGCTGCATCACATGGATGAAATATTGTTGAGCCATACGTCACTGAAATACTCTGTCACACTGTAGATCTCAACAACATCTTATTGTGAAAGTCTACTCCTGTTCCCGCCCTTCCTGCCTGTCCTGCTTCATGACTCACTCCAGGTAACAGCTCACCTGTGTCGGAGCCTTTTCTCTCTTCGTCTTCAACACTTTGGACTGTTTGAAGAAGCTGTGAGTTGGCTTTGTTTGATACTTTAACAAAAAGTTTGTCTTTAGTCTCTTTAGGGTTTGTTTCTTGCTCTGTGATGTTTGTAGTTGTGGTTCACTTCTTATTTCAGGAGAGAGGAGTCAGAAAACAAACCAGCGTAGGGTCACACACAGCACCATTTCCATTTTCAATTTTAGTTGTGAAGCCCAATATTTTGGACGACATAATATACTATGACTTTTTTTTTCATGATTTTGGACGACATACTATACTATGACTTTTTTTTCATGATTTTGGACGACATGCTATACTATGACTTTTTTTTCATGATCTTGGACGACATACTATACTATGACTTTTTTCCATGATTTTGGACGACATACTACACTATGACGTTTTTCCATGATTTTGGACAACATACAATACTATGACTTTTTTTCATGATTTTGGACGACATACTATACTATGACTTTTTTTTCATGATTTTGGACGACATGCTATACTATGACTTTTTTTTATGATTTCGGACGACATGCTATACTATGACTTTTTTTCATGATTTCGAACGACATACTATACTATGACTTTTTTTCATGATTTTGGACGACATACTATACTATGACTTTTTTTCATGATTTTGGACGACATACTATACTATGACTTTTTTTCATGATTTTGGACGACATACTATACTATGACTTTTTTTCATGATTTTGGACGACATACTATACTATGACTTTTTTTCATGATTTTGGACGACATACTATACTATGACTTTTTTTCATGATTTTGGACGACATACTATACTATGACTTTTTTTCATGATTTTGGACGACATACTATACTATGACTTTTTTTCATGATTTTGGACGACATACTATACTATGACTTTTTTTCATGATTTTGGACGACATACTATACTATGACTTTTTTTCATGATTTTGGACGACATACTATACTATGACTTTTTTTCATGATTTTGGACGACATACTATACTATGACTTTTTTTCATGATTTTGGACGACATACTATACTATGACTTTTTTTCATGATTTTGGACGACATACTATACTATGACTTTTTTTCATGATTTTGGACGACATACTATACTATGACTTTTTTTCATGATTTTGGACGACATACTATACTATGACTTTTTTTCATGATTTTGGACGACATACTATACTATGACTTTTTTTCATGATTTTGGACGACATACTATACTATGACTTTTTTTCATGATTTTGGACGACATACTATACTATGACTTTTTTTCATGATTTTGGACGACATACTATACTATGACTTTTTTTCATGATTTTGGACGACATACTATACTATGACTTTTTTTCATGATTTTGGACGACATACTATACTATGACTTTTTTTCATGATTTTGGACGACATACTATACTATGACTTTTTTTCATGATTTTGGACGACATACTATACTATGACTTTTTTTCATGATTTTGGACGACATACTATACTATGACTTTTTTTCATGATTTTGGACGACATACTATACTATGACTTTTTTTCATGATTTTGGACGACATACTATACTATGACTTTTTTTCATGATTTTGGACGACATACTATACTATGACTTTTTTTCATGATTTTGGACGACATACTATACTATGACTTTTTTTCATGATTTTGGACGACATACTATACTATGACTTTTTTTCATGATTTTGGACGACATACTATACTATGACTTTTTTTCATGATTTTGGACGACATACTATACTATGACTTTTTTTCATGATTTTGGACGACATACTATACTATGACTTTTTTTCATGATTTTGGACGACATACTATACTATGACTTTTTTTCATGATTTTGGACGACATACTATACTATGACTTTTTTTCATGATTTTGGACGACATACTATACTATGACTTTTTTTCATGATTTTGGACGACATACTATACTATGACTTTTTTTCATGATTTTGGACGACATACTATACTATGACTTTTTTTCATGATTTTGGACGACATACTATACTATGACTTTTTTTCATGATTTTGGACGACATACTATACTATGACTTTTTTTCATGATTTTGGACGACATACTATACTATGACTTTTTTTCATGATTTTGGACGACATACTATACTATGACTTTTTTTCATGATTTTGGACGACATACTATACTATGATTTTTTTTCATGATTTTGGACGACATACTATACTATGACTTTTTTTCATGATTTTGGACGACATGCTATCCTACTTTTTTTTCATGATTTTGGACGACATACTATACTATGACTTTTTCATGATTTTGGACGACATGCTATACTATGACTTTTTTTCATGATTTTGGACCACATACTATACTATGACTTTTTTTCATGATCTGGGACGACATACTATACTATGACTTTTTTCCATGATTTTGGACCACATGCTATACTATGACTTTTTTTTCATGATTTTGGACCACATGCTATTCTATGACTTTTTTTTCATGATTTTGGACGACATACTGTACTATTTTTTTTTTCATGATTTTGGATGACATGCTATACTATGACTTTTTGTTCATGATTTTAGACGACATGCTATACTATGACTTTTTTTCATGATTTTGGACCACATACTATGCTATGACTTTTTTTCATGATTTTGGACGACATAATATACTATGGCTTTTTTTCAAGAATTTGCACGACATGCTATACTATGACTTTTTTTTCATGATTTTGGGCGACATGCTATACTATGACATTTTTATCATGATTTTGGACGACATACTATGCTATGACTTTTTTTCCATGATTTTGGACGACATACTATACTATGACTTTTTTTTCATTATTATGGACGACATGGTATACTATGACTTTTTTCATGATTTTGGACGACATACTATACTACTTTTTTTTTATGATTTTGGACGACATACTATACTATGACTTTTTTTCATGATTTTGGACGACATGCTATCCTATTTTTTTTTCATGATTTTGGGCGACATACTATACTATGACTTTTTTTCATGATTTTGGACGACATACTATACTATGAAGTTTTTCCATGATTTTGGACGACATGCTATGCTATGACTTTTTTCCATGATTTTGGACCACATGGTATAGTATGACTTTTTTTTCATGATTTTGGACGACATGCTATACTATGACTTTTTTTTCATGATTTTGGACGACATACTATACTATGACTTTTTTCCATGATTTTGGACCACATGCTATACTATGACGTTTTTTTCATGATTTTGGACCACATGCTATACTATGACTTCTTTTTCATGATTTTGGACGACATGCTATACTATGACCTTTTTTCATGATTTTGGACGACAT